CTTGGAATTTTTTGGACTTCCACAAAATTCCATGCTTAGTAATTGCTAGAATGAGGAGAGCAAAGGGATGTTCTTTCCCACAAACTTTTCAACCTCAGTAGGAGCTTCTTCAGCCAAAATGAGCATTTGACTTTTCTTTTTCACTTTTTTCTTGTTAATACAATAGTGCTGATTTGTTTGGTTTTTAATCCTGGGAATTCTGAATTCCATGTTGATCATTCCTAGCAATATTTTACAAAAGCAGAGACAGCTGTGCCATGAGGAGTTATACTGATCATAACAGAATTGAAATATTGTAATTATTTGATGTTTATTTATAAATATTTTTCCACTATGAGGTTTTTAAGCAAATCTTTTCTCAGTGTGATATAACATTAAAAAGACACTAAAGGACTAAGCACTCAACATGTACAAGGAAAGGGATTCAGGTAAATGATTTCCATCAGTATGAGTGAAAAATAACTTAGGAATTTTTGTCAGAACAAGAGCTGAGTTTCAGTTACATTTCCTGATTCCATTAATTAATCCAGTGATTTCAATGAAAGCAGAGATACACTTAAAGAACCCCCGAATCCACTCAGTAGTAAATAAAGCTGAGTTTTGTAAAAGTAGAGTGTTGCTTAAATGTAGTACCTTCAAAGTATTTCTGTCTTCTCGTAAAAGATGAGAATGTTATCTTTAATCACCGAGTACCCATTTATCAGATAAAGAAGCCAGTGGTGATATTATCAGAGGTGCTGGTTTATATTGTGATAACAACTGCTATGCAAAGCTGTGTATTACTGTTTTAAATACCTTACCTTAGTATGGTATTTACATTAATTATCTACGTTAGGAGAACAAATGTGTGAGATTTTAGGAAGAACTTTGTCTGGGAAATGGGTTTTTGGATAACTAAAAGTGGGCTAAAAAGCCAGGCAGGAGGTTATGGAAGATATCTCTGCCTGGGGGGTGGTTGTAGTGTTAAACATGACATCATATTTAAAGTGTCATCCCGTTGTTTTCCAAGAGGAATCTGATGAATTCCCTGTGCCTTGTGTTGAAGCTTTACTCCTTTGTGTCAATGTTTAGTGAGGTTTCTATTTTAATTTATAACTTAAATACGTACATAGGTAGCTATTCCAGTACAGTCTGCATTTGTTCCCTACGATGTACATACTCTCTTCTCCTTTTATAAAAATGCCTGTTTACCTGCACATGGTTTGTGTCTTTTGTAAATGACACCACATGCAAATCACAGCCCATAAATTCACTTGCAGGTGAATTCACTTCCCCTTTGCGAGTGGTTTTAGGTTCCTGTGCTGAGGCAACCACGCCATCTGCTGTTTGCCAGGCAGGAACTGGTGGGAAATGCCAATGGATTTAGGACAGAAACCTCAAAAAGACTGCTATCACTATAAAATTAGTGTGCTTCACTCCTGACCTCTTCTGGGTACAGACAGTGAGCTTGGAGTGAGGCAGAATCCTCAAGAATGTGGGTGTTTAACAGTGACTGATACATAAAGTTATATAGGAAAACATGTTTTGATGATCCAGCTGGGAATGGAGTATGTGTTTGAAACTTTGGTTTTTATCTTTCCTTAAGGCTTCAAGGTCACTCTTGTTAATAAAGTGATAGTTCCTGGGTATGTATTGCTCTGCCCTGGGAGAGCAGTGAAATCGTGCACTTGCTCAATAAATAAATGTTCTGGAGGCTTGCTCTGTCCTGCCTCAGACAAACCAAAGGTTGAGACCCAAAGGTTGGCTTGGACACAGCTGAGATTTTTTTTTTTTCCTTTAAGGCTATGCAGTTAGGAAAAATAGCTAATGAGGTAAATTGTTTTGTTTTAAATCAAACTCAGGAACAATTATGAAAGCAAACACGCAAGGCTGTGCTGTCCTCACCTGTGAAGCTGCTCTGAAAAGAACTTGGAGCTTAATGGTCTGAGCCAGGGAGAAAATGAGCTTGTCTGTGTCACCAGAGAAAGGAAAGGTGTCACTGCTCCAAAGGACAGCAGAGGGTGTACCAGCACAGGGACAGACATCCTTATCAGCACAGGAGTGATCACTCAGATCTAGGATCCCTTTGTAGCTGGTGACAAGTGGGAAGTGTGATCTGTTCAGTGCAGACCTGGAGTTGAGCGACTCGGTGCTCAAACAGTCCACAAACAGAGTTCTGCAAATGCCAAACCCAGATCATCACATCAGGAGTCCCCAGACACAGAATGTGTCACTTCTGCACCAAAAAGCTGGGCTATAGTAAATGCACATTGTTGCAAGTAGTTTTCTTAAAGAAATGCACAGGGATAGAGGCTTTTCTGCCTTTTTGCCTGGTTACCACATTGATGTGTGGCCAAAAGCATCACTCACAAATGGATGGTTTTATCCATCCAACTTTCCTCTAACTCAGAAACTGAAATAGGTATTTTAGTAGTTAATGTAAAAATTGCAATCCTTGGGAAGCACAGAGCACCAAGACAAGAGCATCAGAGAGTCCTTTCTCAAGCCACCCCTCAGTTTCCTTAGCTAGAAGTCCTGACCTGTTCTAATTCTTTGGAGAAGCCATTCTATGCTCATGATTCCCACTATTTTCCCTATTCCCTCCTGGCTACTCTTTCTGAGTTGTGGAGAGGGATCCTACCATGTATTCCTCTGAAAGAAAGGTTTGTAAATCTCCATTAGACAAAAAAAAAAAAAAAGTTGATTGTGATTAAACATTCAATTGGTATTTTTACTTATATGGCTAAGGAATAATTAAGACATTATCTTAGCTGCATTTAAGGATAAGTAAAAAGGATTCAAACCTCCTTTTAAAGGATGAAAAGACATCTTTGATATTTTGCTAAGCTAATAAGCTACATTTAACTTTTAGAATCAGTTGGTGTTTGGAGGAGAAAGACCTTTCCCCTTGCTTACACACTTAGCTAACCTGTGACTGCAGCTAATCAGCCCACGTTAAACAATGTCTCAGAATCTGACACACACAAAGACTTTAAATTCTGAAGTAAGTGGGATGGTCTAATTTAAGAAAGCACTATTAAAAGAGAGTTCTCCAGAAAGTTAAGATGTAGGGTTTCTGGCTTCTTTAGCCCATTGTACCCAATCTACTGGCATCTTTCTCTCATAAAAGATGGAGGAAGGGTTTAAAAATGGCTAAAAATGGGAAAATAATTAATTACAGAAATATACACTAGTTGCAGAACTTACAGTTACAGGTGTTCACTATGACCATCGTACAGACACACATCAGCTTTGATTGCATTGGGTTATCCTGATGTCAGGGCAATGCTTGCACTGGTTTGACCAAGTTCCCTGGATTAGACACACACATAAAATGGCGCTTTTGGAGTACTTGGCATTCCTGTGCTGCCAGGATGGCCCCAGTGAGAGCAAAGCCCTTTCTCTGGGTTCTGCAGCTATGAAATATTCAGTGCAGTGTTTGAGCTGTAACAGCTTCTGGCCCAAAATGAGAGTGCCATAAACAGGCTGTTCCCCTATAGCTGGGGAGGCAGGCAGGCAGCAGGCTAGAAATGATCAGGGAGATGTGTTGTTTATTTTGACAAAGTGACAGATTGTATTTGTGCTTGAAAGGCAACAGGCAGATGGTCTTTGCACAACCTAGAGAGGGCAGACCCTGCTCCTGCTGAGTGGGGAAAGATCTGCATGACTCTAGCACGGCACAAATGAGGGTTAGGAACAGTTCTCCCTTAGATAACTCCATCTAAAGGGCACAAACAAGAGTTAGCAACAGTTCCTTCCTGAGCAGCTCCATCTAAATGGCACAAATGAGGGTTAGGAACAGCTCCTCCTTGCACAGCTCCATCTGAATGGCACAAATGAGGGTTAGGAACAGTTCTTCCTTGCACAGCTCCATCTGAATGGCACAAATGAGGGCTAGGAACAGTTCTTCCTTGCACAGCTCCATCTGAATGGCTGGAACATACAGGTGCTGTGATCAGAAGTCTCTTACCTGCTCTAAAAAGCAGCTGGTTCCAAGGGTGCTGTTACTGCACAACAATTCACACCCAGTAACTGCTCCACTGTTGCCTTGCTCTGATCTGCTCTACTCAAAAATTCTTTATTGTGTCACCAAGTGACCCCAAATTTTCCAGAAATATTTGAAACATAAAATATCCATGCAATACTGTATTAGGTTTAGGATATTAAGGTTTATATTTCATATTTAGGTTAAGGATAGGCTGTATCCACTGGAGAAATAAGGAGTGGAATATGAGTTTATGGTGTGAGACTATTAAAAATCACAACAGCACAAAAGCTGTTATTAAAATTCAGACATCTATGACAGACTTAAAAAGTGTTACACTGTGAAAATGTTCAATGTCCTCTCTCGCACTTCTCCAGCACTCCTGCTTCCTTCAGGAGAATGTTGTTTATAAACAGAAAAATGTTGTTATAAACAGAGGGAGTTCTCCTAATGTTGAAAGTTTGCCTCACACAAAGACAATTTTTTTTTCCTTGAAAGACCTCCCACATGCCCGTGTTCTTATCACACAGCAACTATGTTAAATGTTTGATGTTAAACTCTAACAAACTGGGAATGTTTTCAAAAACTTGGGATGCTTATTTTGCCTCATCTCAATTTATTTTAAATTACAAAGCCACGTACCACATGCATGACTGTAAGGGTTTTTGGATGCAGTTATTTGTATCTGGAAATAGAAAAATGTAAATGCTTTTCTTCCTTTTCACATGAGTTTTACATTGTCATTAATTTTTATGCTTAGTGCTTGAAAACCTTCTTGAGTTTCCTCCTACCCTCCCAATATGGCTCAATACACTGACAAGCCTACAGATATCTTCTTCCTTTGATAAATTCCAGCTCTCAGTGGGCAAGATCAAGGTAAGGCCTCCTCTTACATGCAAAATAAGTCAAATTGATACATGAGTTTTATCTCCTATGGTCTCAAGGCATCTTGACCTTGTTTTCAAAAAGCAGTGAGGAAGAGAACAGACCCCAAAGAATTAATCCACACCAATGCATTGAGGCTCTTACTCAATGCTTGAAAAGAAAAAAGGTATCTTTATTTCCATTTTAACAAAGTCCAAACACAGCTGTGTAAAGGGAACTGCTTTCCCAAGGTCACAGGAAAACGCAGGTCCTGAGCTCAGGCCCTCTTTCTTCATGAGATGGTGCGATCCACAATTAACATAACCTGGGGAAATATTCCATTGCTTTTTGACCCACCAAATCCCATCCTGTGCAGACATAAAATTGCTTACTTTGGCAGAGCCAAAACCAAGCTCAAGTGCATCTTTTATGATTTTTTACAGTGGCATAAAGAATTCTGAATGCTTGAATGGTTCTCTCTGTTGTTCCCAGACACCCTCCTAAAGTAACGCTGCAAGCAAGCAGGAGTGGCCTGTGTTAATAATGTATCTCCTAGTGCACTACAGTAGCGCCCAAATGTCTCTATAGCAAAACCAGTGCAACAAAGTATTTGTATAGGAACGATGATACAAAGCCAGTTTGATGTAAAAATATACCTGAGAGGAGTTAAAGAGGTGTAGCCCTGCACTCTGCTGTTTGCACCGGCCTCTGCTCACGGATTTGGCGCTGCCAAGACTCAAAGCACAATCGCTTATTGCGTCTCTTGGAGCTCGAGCTCTTCAATCCGTGCGGCTGCAGGGAAGGAAAGAAAAACCCTCAGCTTCCATTCGGAAGGGAACTTTGCAGCCCTCACGGACGAGTTGCAAAGCCTGAGAGCGCCCAGAACGCTCCGAGGCAAGACAACACAAAGAGCTGCCGGCACTCTTTGTTAGGGCCGTTCCAAGCCCGCTTGGGGATGCTGCAATATTTGGGTTAGAGCACTATAGCGAGGCGCACAGGCCGCCCTGCCAAAGGCACAGACGGATGGGTGGCTCTCTCTAACAAAAACCGGGGCTTTAACCCCATCAGGGATTGCCTTGAAACCTCTCCATCCCTGAACTCCTCCACCCTGGGAAAGGATGGCAAGGCTTTCTGCCTTTATGCTCCCGGCTACCACAAGCCCACTGGGACTGGGGTCGGGGGGGCCCTTTCTGTGCTGGGCGGGGAGGGGGCTCCTGCCCCCACCGCAGCCCTGGGGCCCGGCCGAGGAGGGCGGCAGCCAGGGGAGGGGGGTTGTAGCGGGCCCGGGCTGCAGTGACTCCTCCTAGAGGCGGTATGTGCCGAGCGGGAGCAAACCCCTGCCGCCCCCCTCAGCAGCAGCCGCCATCGCCATTGAAACATACAATACGGGGAGAGCGGCTGAGGCGGAGCGAGGGCGGGGGGAGCCCAAAAGGGAAAGGGGGAGGAAAGGGGAGGGGGGGCAAGGAGAGGAGGAAAAGAGGGGGAGGAAAAAGAGGAAGGGAAGACAAGAAGGAGGAGGCGGCGGCGGCGGGCGCCGGCAGGTGAGGGGAGCGGCGGCGCGGGGGTTCCGGGGGGGCGGCGAGGCCCTGCTCCTCTCCTTCCCTCTCTCCTCGGCCGCACGACCCACCTCCTCCTCCTCCTCTTCCTCCTCCTCTTCCCGGCGCCGCTGCCGTTCTCCGGGAGGGCCCGGCCATGGCCGAGGCCGTGAGGGGAAAGGGCGTGAGGGGGGCGGGTGAGGGGCGGCCATAAAGGGAGGGGGGGCGCGAGGCGGTAACGGCGGCGCGCGGGGCCGGCCCCGGCTAAGCGGTGTCTGGGGGGGAGGGGGCGGTTCTTCCTCGCTCGCTGCCTCCGCTCGGCCGCCGCAGCGCTTCCCGTTCCGGGGCCGTGCGGCCGCCGCCACAGCCGCCCCTCGGCGGGCAGCGGGCGAAGCCCCCGCGGCGGCGGCGGCGCTGGCTGAGGGCGGTGTGAGGGGGGGCGTCAGGGGGGAGCGTTTGCGCGGGAAAGCCGGCGGCCACACCCCCACACACACACACTGCACTGCGCCTCGGGACGCCTGCGCGGCCCGGCAGCTGCCCCCGCCCCTCTCCGGTCGATCAAGAGGCTCTCAGCCAATCAACGCTCTCTGCCCAGCCCGGGCTGCAGCAGCGGCCAATCAGCGGGGAGAGTGGGCGGGGCGGCCGTGTCCGGGCAACGGCGAGGCGTGCGCGGGGCGGGGCGCGGGCCGGGCGGGCCCTGAGGGGGCTCGGGGCGGCTCCGGGCCGAGCGCGGGGTGCCCGGGCCCGGCTTCTCGCAGCGGCTCCAAAGGCTCCCTGTGGGGTCGGACCAGGCCCGTCCTCTCAGGGTCCGTCCTCCCGACCCTGCAGGGGTGGCCCGATGTTGTTTGTGAGTGGGAGCTGCCCCAGCAGGGACCCCCGGGGTTGGGGGTGCCCTGGAAGCTTTCGCGGGGGACGCGCTCGGTGTGGGCGGTTGTTGAGAAACCTCACCTCACCTGCCCTCTGAACAGCGCTATGGCCTTAGCAATTCGGTCAGAGAACGAGCCCCTGCTTCAGGTCTTCCGCGTTATTTTTCACAAATATTTCCTTTATAAGTGAATGTGCAGCCTAAGCTGGATCTAAGGTATGTCTGTGGATTTCTTGTCAACTCTTTATTAATAGATCTTCTAATAGATCTTCTGCTGGAGATGAGGGGAGTGCAGCTGTGTGGATAGTCCTGAATGTCCTTTCTTTTAGCATTTGGCTGCTGAGTCTGAGTTCTCTCAGTGTTTGGAAGTCACAGAGCCACGGAATAATGAGGTTGGAAGAGACCTCTAAGATCATCGAGTCCAACCCATGCCCTAACACCTCAACCAGACTATAGCCCCAAGTGCCATGTCCAGTCTTTTTATAAACACACCCAGAGATGGTGATTCCACTACCTCCCTGGGAAGAGCATTCCGGTACTTTATTATTCTTTTGGTGAAAAATTTCTTCCTGATGTCCAACCTGTCCCTTTCCTGCTGTAGCTGGCGACTGTGTCCTCTGGTTCTGTCAGAGACTGACCCCACCTGTCTGCAGCCTCCCTTCAGGGAGTTATAGAGAGCAATGAGGTCACCTCTGAGCCTCCTCTTCTCCAGGCTAAACAGCCCCAGCTCCTTCGAACGTTCCTCACAGGGTTTGTGTGCCCAGCCCCTCACCAGCCTTTTTGCCCTCCTCTGGATGTGCTCAATCATCTCAACGTCCTTCCCAAGTCAAGGTGCTCTGAGGGCTGGAGCCTTTCTGCTCAGGACAGGCTGGGAGAGCTGGGCATGTTCAGCCTGGCCCTGGAAAGGCTCTGGGCAGACCTTGCTGCAGCCCTGCAGTACCTGAATGGGGTGTGTGAGAAAGAGGGAGAGAAACACAGGGATGCTGGAGCCATGGCAGAGTGGGGTGTGCTGTGACCAGTTAAGGGATAGGGAAAAGAATTGCTCCCAGTTGCCCAAGCCTGATGTCAGGCAGGCAGGTACAGACACAGCCCTTGTAGCCCAGTGAGGATGGACTTGGCACGAGTGGCACAGGTTTATTTTTAAATGGAGGTTGTGCTTCATGAGGAGAAACATAGAGATGATGAATCAACTGGTGGAGAGGGAACAAGAGTGGGTAGATTTTTCAACTGATAAGCTCTTGAGGCTTGGCTGTGTCCTCAGCAGAGAACAATTAGGACAGCAGTGCTCAGCTTGTAGCTCTTTACCTGTTAGTTGCAGGTCAGGTGAGTGTGGCAGGGCTGAGCTCATGTGCCTCTTCCTGCGAGAAAACCAGATCCCTGTCTGTGGGATTTCTTCGTCCAGGTCCACAGGAGTTTTCTCTGCATGTGTCTTTGTCCAGATCCTGTTGTGGCTATGCCAGAGCTTGGCTTTCTACCCAAAACTGCCTCCTGTAGGAGTCAAAACAGGACAAGAGCACGCTGCTGTGTTTATTGCTCCTCAGTGCACCCTGCTCCATGTAAGTTGCAAAGCAGAGACAGTGTTAGCAGAGTTTTGAAACATCTTGTATTTAGGCTCTGACAACATTCTGCAAATGTAACCCTCAGTGCATTTGGAAAATATTTTGGGATTCCAAGAGCTGGCTTGGCAGCAAGAGAGTAAATAATGGCAGAGGGCTTCCTGTGAGAGAGAAAGGGAAAATAAAGGAGTAGGCAGGGGTGGAAAGTTCAGTGATAGCAACGGAAGGATGAGCCAAAAGTGAGTAAACATTAATTTCTATAATGCAGCAATTAAACATACATTTATGTAATGCAGCAGCATGGCCCAGAGCAGTGTGGTTAGTTGTATACAAATATGTTTTGATTTTCTACCATGGAGATCAAGTGTAACAATGGTATTTTCTGTGGATCCAATCCCTTGATGTTTGCCTTTTTCCACTGTTTCTATAGGAAAGAATATATGAGAGGTTAGCGTAATATAATTTTGATACAGGTAGTGTATTCTTTCAGCATTCTCTCTGCAGGGGTTCAGTGCTGGCCTGAACTCTTGGGTGGTGCAGCTGTCCTGCCAGCATTGCAGGAACCTGTTTGTACCCTACTGCACACATTTATTAAGTTCCACTTCAGAAAGAGTTATTGTTGCTCTAAAGAGAAGGCTGTCCCAGAAACTGGCTCCTCTGATGGCTAGAAGCCTAATTCCCAGCCTAGGTTTGTTATTTGGATGTCAGTTGTCACACACTGAAAAGGACGTGTTTTAAGGGCTGTTATTATTACGAAATTGAAAGTTTATAAAGGGTTTGTCACAAATTGCAAGTTTCATTCATTCAGGAAGATGACCAGGTCCAGCCTCCAGCCCCGAGGCAGATGCAGTGCTGCTGGATTTGTGACATTCGTTCTCAAATTGTTCTGAAGTTGTCGTGCTGAGGATTCTGCTGCCCCCCTGTGTGACCAAGGCCAGTGCTGCTCTCTCCTCTGCTGTCCAGCTTCTGTAAGGTCACTGCTGTAGGGAACACCTGCTCTCCACCTTCACAGCATGTCTAAAGACCAGATCATGCCTCCCCACTTCTTTTCACCTTCCCTTGGAGCTCTGTGCTTCCAGGCTGGCAGCTGGCAGGGAATTCAGAGTGGGATGATGAGCAATGCCAATTTTGACGTGTCTGTGTCTGATGGGTTTACTGGTTTCATCTTTCCCAAATTTTCTTATGCCCACATGATACATTGCTCATAGAAAGAAAAAATTGTCTGACTGACATACAAGGACATGCCACGGTTTTACAGCTCTCTGCTGATTTTATACCTTTGATATCATAAATGAAAATATTATTATAAAATTTAGCAGTATCACCTTGATTCACTTTCCAAAGTGTCTCCCTTGTTGTGTTTCCTTGTTTCACTGAGGTGAATGGATGCTGGCAGTGAGGTAGCTGTGCTTTCCTTGGCAGAAATAGCATCTCTGGCAGACCTGCTCTGTGTTTGCTTCTGAGGAGTAACCAGGCTCATAATTATGCCTCCGGGGCAGCTATCAAAATGGAGTTAAAACCAAGTTTTGTAAACAGAGTTAAAGCTTTCCCAAACATTATTTGTCTGAGAGTGAGAACTGGAGGTGTAATTGTGACCACATGCAAGCTGTGGAGTGGCTGAGGTTTGTTCTCTGTTTATCCCTAGTCTTGTGGTTGCCAGAAAAATAAGGAGAAAACAGGGTTTGTTTGCTTCGCTCCTGGTATTGCTACACTGACAGTGCAATTCAAAAGCAAAGTTATAGCAAATATTGCAATTATCCTGTGTGGTGTTTGTGAGGGTCCCCAGGACGAGGTGAGAATCTGACTCCATGTTCTCAGAAGGCTGATTTATTATCATATCATATATCATATATCATATATCATATATCATATATCATATATCATATATCATATATCATCATATATCATATCATATCATGCCATACTAAAACTATACTAAAGAAAGAGAAAGGATACAGACAGAAGGCTTAACAAAAGTGATAATGATAAAATGAGAGAGTGTGACAGACTCAGAGATTCCAACAACAATTGGTGATTAAATTAAAACAATTCACATGGAACCAATCAAACATTCACCTGTTGGTAAACAGTGTTCAAGCCACATCCCAAAGCAGCAAACACAGGAGCAGCAATCACATAATTATTGTTTTCATTCCTCTCTGAGGCTTCTCAGCTTTCCAGGAGAGAATCCTGGGCAAAGAGGATTTTTCAGAAAATACCACGGTGCCAATCCTGCTTTTAATGAACAATGCCTCCACTTTAACAGGTGTTGAGGGCTGGTTTGGATTTTTCTTCTGGAACAGCAGCAATGCATGAAGGTCACAGATTGACAGAGTGATGAGGTTGGGAGAGATTGCCAAGATCACCGAGTCCAACCTGTGCCCTAACACCTCACCCAGACTATAGCACCCAGTGCCATGTCCAGTCGTTTTATAAACACACCCAGAGATGGTGATTCCACCACCTCCCTGGGAAGAGCATTCCGGTACTTTATTATTATTTTGATGAAAATTTCTTCCTGATACCCAACCTGTCCCTTCCCTGCTGTAGCTGGAGGCTGTGTCCTCTGGTTCTGTCAGAGACCGACCCCACCCATCTGCAGCCTCCCTTCAGGAAGGTGCAGAGAGCAATGAGGTCACCTCTGAGCCTCCTCTTCTCCAGGCTAAACAGCCCCAGCTCCTTCAAACGCTCCTCACGGGGTTTCTGTGCCCAGCCCCTCACCAGCCTTGTGTTTGAGCATCCTTCCCAAACTGAGGGCCCAGAGCTGGACACTCACTAGGGTGACAGGGTGTTGTGGCCTCACTACTGTTTACAGGGCAGGAATGCCCTCCCTGCTCCTGCTGGCCACACCACCCCGTTAT